AAGGTTATTACATGGCAGTGATCTAACTTTTGATAGCTTTTTGACCATGTTTATTTTTGTTTCTTTGTTTTGTTTTTCTGTTTAGTTGAAGAGGTAGATCAGTGAACTGTCAGTTAATGTTTAAAATGAGGATCAAAGCTTTTATTTCCTAGTCTTTACACATTTTTAGAGAATGTTTTTAAGTTGGGAAAAATAAAAGAATCTCCAGATCGCGTCATTTTAAATCCAGCTTTATCCCACCGGAGAACAAAGCGAGAGAATTCAGCTTCAACAGGGAGTCCTCAAAGCCACTTCTGGCCCTTCTGTATATTTAGCCCCGTAATACTTTTACTGTCTTTTGTTTGGGTTTTTTTTGTTTGTTTGTTTGTTTGTTTGTCCCACACCACACCCCAGTGTAGTCCACAAATCTGTTTGCACAAAAATTAAACTTTGCATATATACTGTCTAAAGGAAAAAAAGTTAATTAACCAAGCACATGCTGTTTATGATGACGAATGCTCGTTTTTAAAACGGAAAACAACAACAACAAAAAAAGAAACCCAAACATTTTAACCATTCTTACACCTTTTTGTCTGGCAACAATGTAGAATAAAGATTAACCCATCAGATCATAATCCACCCTGCCCCTCGTTTTGTTTTGGTTTGTTTTCTGTTCATGCCCTCCCCTCCTTATCCTTTGTTTTTCCCCTGGTTTCTGTTGCCCGTGGTTGGGACCGGTGATGTGATTTGGTCAGGTAGAGAGTACCTCCACTTTAGCCCGGTTGCAATCCGGACGTTTTCTCTTTTAACAGAGGTGCCCATTCCGTGCTTGGAAATGCAGTTACTACTCTGTGAATGACATGTTGTATAAATCAATGTTTGAAAATAATGATATTGAAACTTTTTAAGTTAAAAACGAAAAAAAATTTTTTTTGGTTGTCTGCCATGGGTGGGTTATCTCTTAGAATCGCATGCTGTAGAATTGCTTAAAAGGTGCATATGAAATTAAGTCCTTTTGATGTTTTTCTTTGAGAAAATAACCTGTTGAATATATCAATACGATGGTATTTATATTTTTCTTTTTCCTTTTTTCCTTTTTTTTTTTTCCTCTTTGTTTTTGGCTACTCCGTGCATACACGATTCAACTAAAATGTCAAAGCTATGCACTCGAGAAGCAAACCCTGCGACATTAACGGTTACTTGGTCCATACTTGGGAGGGATTCCACAAAAATTAAAGTAATGTAAGTGTTTAAATTGTACACACATGCATACGTACATTCATTCACGTAAACATACACAATCTCCAATGGAACAAAATAAAATTTTCATTCCTTCTGTAGCAAACGAAATTCCATTTACAAAGGAAAACATTTTATAACAGGTTTTTTCTGTCCTTTAATAAAAAAAAAAACGGGAAAAAAAAATCTTGCAGCATCTGAATGGCAGAAGTTTCTGTTGTTCCCTTCTTGTAAACAAACGCTCTTTCTTTAGCAGTAGTGACATTTTTTCCATTCTGTTTTTTTTCTCTGCGACATTCTGTACAAAAAAAATGTGCTGTAATTGTGCGTTAGGCCTGGAGTTGGCAAAAAATAAAACAAAATAAAAAAAATATTACAAATTAATTAAATTCCCTTTCCTTTTTCTCTCTTTCTCTATCAAATAACTGTAGAGCTCTGCACCCCCACTGTTCCCTTTTCACCTTTTGTATTTAATTTTAAAGTCAGTCAGTGTACAACCGAAAGCTGGATGCAAGATAGAAACTATATTAAAATGTACTGTTATTTAAGATGTAATAAAAAGCAGTTTGAGATGACCTACTGTGTTGAGTGTGATTCACTTAGAGCATTTCCCACTGAAGCTAGAATGTTGCAGACTGTTTGGTTTCCTTGTAATTATGTTCAAGTCAATAAACAATTTCTTATCCACTGTTGAATCAGCCTGCCTCTTCTGTACAGTCATTAACGCACTCACTTAACTCTTTTTGTTCATCAGCACTTACAATGAGTGTAAAGGCACCTTCTTGTAGTGCCACTCTGAGTGTGAAGACTAAAAATGAAATTGCAGACTGACTTCCCAGCTTGAGTAACAGCAGCATACGTGTCCACGCTTGCTGAAAACATCAGCGTAATTATACACGCCGATCTTAACTGGCGTGCCTTGCTAAAGAGCATTTCCCTCAGTGTTAGCAGTTTGCATATTGCTTACTCGGTATATTCTCACACTTGCTGATCCCTGCTTCACCGATGGATGATCAGAGTCCTTTCTAATGATGTACATGCTTTGGTAATAATCCTTGATGTTTACTGCCCTCTACTGGGCAGACATCTGAAATACAAATACAGATTATTTTGTGTGGATGTGGCAGAGAATGCATGACCATGAGCAAGTAGCTTTCCTTCTAGATGGTCAGCACATCTGTAACAACTCCAAAGAAATTACCAAGTCTGGTCTTTCTGATGACATGTAGAACTTGATAAACAAGTGGCAAAAATAAAGATAAAAAAAACCACTACATCAAAATGTACTGATTCAGCCTCTTGGGTAAAATCACTTTTTTTAAGAGCTTTGTTTTTTCAAATTCGCTGTATTTCCTGTTACTAGAGTCGTGGGAGGAGGGGGGGGATCTAAAATCGGAAGTAGTGGCTCAGGGTGGGGGGAAAAAAATCACACCCCACAATAATTTCTGTTGTAATCTCCAGCATTTTCTTTGTGTACAGGCTGTGATCAGCTGAAGTGTGTTGCTGCTGAGGTTTACTGCTCTTTGTGGATTTACACAGCTGAATTAAAGCAAATGTTTCACAAGCTGTCTTGGCTGATTTCCATGGTATACTGTTTATACTGTCTTTTTACTACACAGCACACAGTTGGTATAAAGATTCAGTAAATGAATCGAAGCTTAATCGCTTACATCTAAATTCATCTCTGCTACACTTGATGTACCCTTGATGTAATCTCTGACCATGAACACTACAGTCACTGTGGTGTTAAGTCCAAAGCAGTGCTTTACTTTAAATTCACCACAGTACAGCGAGCCAACCTCTTTATATGCACTAAGCTGCTCAGTCTTCGAATAACACACAGTAGGCTATACACCATAACTTACCATCATATACGGACCCAATATGTGATTAAAATGATGATCTTTAAATCTGGTGTCACTGAGCAGTTCTTACCTTTAAATCGAACGTTTCTTCTGCCTCCCATCCTGTCTTTCTTATCTTTCTCCATCTCTGAGGTTTCTTTGCTTCTTTCTTTTCGCTCCCTGGGAAATGCAGCAGCTGAACCTTTAGCTGGCAACACACCGTGAGTCAAACTGCATACAAACGGCTTGTGTGTGTGCTGATATCTGTCCAGCTGTTAGAAATGTTGCATTTGAAATGACCTGCTGCAGCATGTGTCTCTGTAGTGCGAACTAGATCCTGAAGTACAACACAGGCTCCACTTTAGCCACTGGTAAGTATAGTGCTGTGAATGATGCATAAATAATATGTTGTTGTTTTTTGTATTTTATCTCTGCATATGTGATAAGCTCCGGTGATGGCTACACCAACAGCATTGTCTTTTCTGTGTTATTGTTCCCTCCATTTAGGCTCAATGATGTTTGATGGAAATAAAAACTTCCCTCAAACATGTTAAACCTAAGTAACATAAAGTTAGGTAAAGTAATGTGAATTCTAGTATTTGTACTCCGTTATTTCCCACCTCTGTAAAGTTGTACTGATTGACTGAAGCACACTGAAGTGTGTAACAATTGCCACAGTATTCTTTATTTTTTGTTTTTGTGCAAAAGTCTTGAGCCACACCTCATTTCTTCATATTTTTCTAAGAAAATGGGAAATGGGTGCAGCGATTTTTGAAACATGTTTCAAACATACACGGAAATAAGGCAAAACCGGAGTTTGTACAATTCTAATGAGCTTGAAAGTCAATATTATACGTTTTTGTAATTTCTTTAAGTAATCTTCAGGAATAGGCTGAATTCTATGGGATTCTTGACGCACATTCAAAGCTTTGGTTTGGATGTTGGCTGGCTTTTGTTCTGTTCTGTATCAAGTCTTTTCTCCCAGTTTCACTTCCTTAATAATGGATTCTTAACAGCCACCCTTCCACCGAGACCATTTCTCCTTTGCCAGATTGGATTTTTCTATTTGTTAAAGACACAACTTTTAGACACTGTTCATTTGCTGAAGGATTATCATTTCTCTCCCACTTGTCCACTTTCCTATGTTCTTTTAAAGACACCATGCACACCAGGCTGCATGTTAACTTTTCATATAATAGCTAATTGAGAATCACCTGGTACATCCCTCAAGTAAGGTAGCTTTTTTTTATTGCTGAATGACTATATGAATGTTAAATGGCTAAAAAACAAAACAAAAAATCAGCATCTGTCAAAATGGTGAGGTACTCGGACTGGAAAATGAGTAAAAAAGCAATGCCCAAAGAAAAACCATGAAAGACCAGAACCATTGCTAAAGACCATTTTCAAAAATGACAAGGAGAGTCTAGTCCCTTGTAAGGAAAATATAAAAGAAATGAGGGATGTTTTTTCCCGCACAGTACTGTTTAATGGAAAGAAACAGAATAAAGCGGAATAAAGGTTATTTTGCGGTTTAATCATTAAGAGGGGTGATAGAAATTTAAACCTGGAGGCTATAGTGGAATCATTAATCCAAAATAATCCCTTAATTCATGCAGCAGCTATAACTTTATGTCTTTGCCGTATAATTTTTTACCTACAATGTAGTTTGGTCCTGTGATATAATCTGAATGCTGTATATATAACCTGTGGTGCTGTAGCCTGGAGTGGTAGTCCAATATGACGTCGGCGCAGAGGGAGCCCGTGATTGGCTGGTCAGTATGAGGAAGTTGCGAGGCGATTGTTGATTCCTGAGTAGTGAGATGGTGTAACTATATTATTATCAAAGCGAATAATAATGGTGAAGTTCTGATCCTGCGGGATTTTGCCGCGCGCCAGATTTGCGTCGTCTCCCGTGACGTTGTGAGTAAATAGGTAGCCGTGCAGCTGGATGATGTGACGCTCTGTGATCAGGACGGCTAACTGCTAGCTTAGCTTGGGAACTAGCTCAGTTGCCTAACCGGTGATATATCTGTGGTCGCCACCATTCATCCGTTTATATAGTCAGGCAAGTCGGTGGAGGTCCTGTTGTAGACCACACGGGACAGTTCGACCATTAGAAAAGTGATAAATCACAAAGAGAGCAAAGACGAGGCTGTTAAGCGCAAAATAAACATTAACCTGTGTAAGCTAGGTTGCATCTTTTTCTCTAGCTGGCTGACGGTAAGGAAAAAACTTTAGCCAATATAATTTAGTTGAAGCTTAATTTTGGCTTAACTTGAAGTTTTTACTGTTTGGACAAAAACTTTTATTTCAATTTAATATCGACTTAGAAAAGAGTGCATATTAACCCTTATGTAATTTGGTGAACGCCGGTTACTGGGAGATGTAATCTGTAAGATCGATAGAAGTAAAATAAAATAAAATAAAATGAATAGAAATATTTGAGCGCGTCAGTAGATTTTATGTGACCCGAGCTGTAGACTCGCTCGTGTTTTCTTTATGTATATAATAGTTGGAATGATGTTCTGTAAGTTTTTGCCTCTTTTGGACCATCAGTACAAAAGCTGGTTTTATTACATGAAGTTTGGCGCATGCAGCCAATACACTGAGCCGGGGTTGTTTCTGCCAGCTGAGCTGATTAATGGTTGCTAGGGTGTTAATGAACAGAGTGAGCAGATCAGGACAAACTCATTGCTGTTGATGCACCTCATGGGAGGAGTGTGATTGAGGGGAGAGGGCGCAAATTAAAAAAATTGGCATTTAGCAATTGAAGAACAAATATATTTTATGTGTGCAACTTTGCCAGCTCTTTCACTAGGTAAATATTACTAGCTATAGTCTATTTTTAAGTTCTTATGCTATAGTCCCTGTATCTGTTAAGGCTGCGATTAAATGTTATTTCAGCAGCTCTTTTGTGTGATCATTTTCTTTGGGTGTCAGTGGGGATGAATACATAAATTGGCACATTTCTTTTGATTCTGAGCCGATTGTGAGAAACATACATACTGTTGTATTTTTCCCACATTCAAAATAACTTGAACAAAAGGCTTTGAAAATCATCTTCGACCAGCCTCACACAGTTGTGCGTCATCGCCCAGCATTTATTGTCACTTAGTTTTCATTCCTTTGTCGCAGTTTATATCCTGTATATTATACAGATACAGATCAGGTGTCACACTTTGCGTGACACCTGATCGCTCTACTCATGAAAGATTGCTGTGTCATGTCAGTTTACCTCCAGCCTGGCTGTGTGAGATGGAGGGCGGAAAGGACGTGCGAGTGGAATCTGCCCCATACTCCTGCTCCACCTGTGATGGAGGGGAGGTGCCTGCCCGCAACCTGACTCGAAGAAACAGAAAAGTCCGCAGCTTGAGCACTTCCTCAGCCAGCACCTCCTTTGAATACAGGTAAAGCAGTTGTCCACACATGAAACTTGATTTTATCTTTTTTTTTTAAGGTGGTAATGAGCCATGTTTAAAGTGCAAAGTCAGAAGAACAGTATTACTTATAACTTCAACCCCTCGTTTTTATCTTTCCTTAGGGTTATGGTCGTGTGAGTGTGAGTGAAAAATTGCTGATTCACTGGTCAAAACCTCCTGCTTATCAGAGACGTGACCCTGGTGCAGACTAACCTTTAAGCAAACAAACCAGGGCTTGCTGGATTTACAATATGCTTTAAGTTGTTGTCCAGTTGGTCAGCTCACTTTCATACAGAGCGTTGCTATAAAGGTCAAGATATTAATTCATTACTTCTCACTAAATTTGCAGTAACTCTGTCATACACAGATACAAACAGCCACGAAGAGGCCCGCTACATGTAACGATGCCAAGTGTTCAGCCTGAAACATCCAGATGTTTTTTTCTTTTTTTAAAAATGGTCCATGTTGCCATGACTATAGTCCAGTAATGCAATCGGTTAACCTGATTGCATTACTGCGCTACCACCTTGTAAGCAGATTGGAAAATGTTGAGACACAATCACAGTTGCAGCAGCTGAGACTTTTGTGAAATGGATTTGTGTGGGTATCTGACTTCACCTCTTTGGTTTGCTAACTGTTCATGTTGCAAGGTTTGTTTGTTTTTTCAGAAGCATTAAGATTTAGGAGGAATTTATCCTAATTGGGAAAGGACCCTTTTCATTGTAGCAAAGCAAAAAGTGAAGTGGACCTCCTTGGCTGAAAAGTAACTAACGTGAGTTTAGTTAAAAGCTTACAATAAGACCAGAGCTTACGATAAGCGGATCACAGTTTGATATCTGTGTATTATTTTACTAATACAACGCAATACAATATCTTCTGTTGGAGTAGTTTTAAAAAAATGTTGTGACTCCACCTGCACTGTGATCCAGTGCTGGACTGAAATATTGATACATTCTCAGATTGCTCGAGAAGTTACGCGGAAGTAAAGCTTACGTACACAGCTGGTTGCTTGGGGACGTTGTAGGCTCTGGTAACCTAGGTGACCGTCTAATGCAAGGATGTCAAACTCATTTTACATCGTGGGTCAGATACAGCTCATTTAGATCTCAAGTGGGCCGGACCAGTGAAACTGCCCTTTAACTAAACATTTAGTCAGAGGTCAAGTACAGTTTTAGCAGCAAGTCTCGGGTTTGGTTAATTCACAGAATTTTTTTTGGACCCACTATAAAAAAAAATAGATTTCTATAATAGAGAACCTTTCTATTATTTAATTGTTTATCTAACACTTAACTAGTTTGGTGTGGTATGAGTGGTCATGTGGAGGTCTTTGTCAGTAGGAAAAGCTGTAAAGCATCTTCCAAAGCCTTCCAGGCCAATTCTGTCCCCCTGGCCCTTATGTTTGGTCACATGTCAATCAACGATATACTTAAGTCTCATTGGTAGTCTCGTCAGTCTCTCACCTGAGACTGACCTGAGCAGTCTTTTTGCCCATAGTTGCTTGAAGTCACTAAATGCCATTTACTTTTATGCTCTCTGGTTGCTACCACCACAAATCCAAAGTACACACAGCTTTACTCTGTTTTTGTACTTTAGTGTCAGAGCTTCATCTTTTTATTTCTCTTCTCTTTTTTCCTTTGCCCATTTGGTGAATGTAAAAGTCTTAAAGTTGCATTACTTTTTGTTTTTTCTCCACTGGAGGGGAAAAATGACCCTAAAACAAGCTCACGACTGCTTATCGTTGATCGAACTGCTGTCACTTTAAAACATTTGCCTTTTCTCCACATCATCCCATTGGACTCCAGTTTTTTGGCGTTCTGACAAATACCAAAGCAGTGAGCGAAACAAGAGCAGCAACAGACTCTGTAGAGTTGCAGACTTGGTGATAACTGTCAGTGCTTTTGTCAGTGTGAGCAGCGGCTCTGGCGTTGCGCGTTAGTTTCTTTACATGTTTGTATGAAAATATCGTTCAGTGCAGCTTTAAGAGCGCGTAAACGGCAGATGGTGCATTCGCAGAGTGAGACGGCTAAGAGGATTTGATTGAGTGATTCAGCATGAAGGCTGCGTTTGCGCCGTCAGTGAATGCCACCGCTGACCTTTTGACCCCACACTCCAGTCACAATGCGTTAACAAAGCCTAATACAGACAGGTGCTTAAGATTTTCATTTTTTCCACTGCGCAGAAAGCAGATTTCTGTGAGCTCCAGAGTAAGTAAGTGGATAAGTAAGGCTTATAAAACAGCTTGTCGGGCTTAATTTCACCGATGCACTGTTAACACTGCACCTACGACAAACAGACGCCCCAAAAAAGTCTAAATCTGAACAAAGAACATTTCAAGCACTGGGCTGTAGCACCACAGTTTACACTTTCACCTATCAAATGAAAGGTTTTCAGATCGACGCAGTGACACAAATAGAGACTCTAGTGGTGTGTCGAAGCTAAGTAGACACAAAATAAGCAAATATCGGCTGATTTGTGAATTCTGTAAATTCTGAACTTCCGCTTCTGTTTTGTAGACGTCTCCAACAGCCTTTGTTTCGCTTCCCCTTTTTTTTTTTCTTCTTTTTTTGTCTTGAAAACTGAAATTAAAAGTGTAATTTGTTTGGTGAAAACTTTGACAAAAAGAGTTGGTAACTTGGGAATTTCTAGAGACTAGCATCGGCATCAAAGGGTGAGTGACATCATCTGGTCTTGAGCTCAGCTTCCAGTTTCCTGTAAACGAACAGATGACAGTAGAAGAGGTTGTGGGGTCAACTTATGCGCAGTTCGAGTAAGATGAGATCATTTTAAAATGCCTTGGAGTCTTCATTTGCGTTCTTGCCCAACTACTTGCTGTGTTTACATGTGAATGTTTTTTTTTTTGTTTTTTTTTTATCCTGTCTTTTAGGAGGACTCAATCACTTCATGGACCGAGCCCTGTGACGACATTCGGCCCCAAGGCATGCATGCTCCAGAACCCACATGCAGTAATGTAAGTCAAACAGGGAGAGTTTTTTTTAATTTATTTTTTTTATTGTTGTCCACCTTTGGAAGTCATTCCTAAGCTTTAGTTTCAGTGTGAGTCATTGTACAGTGAACAGTAGTGAGTTTAGTGTGTCTTTGCATCACTAAAACCCACCTGTACAACAAAGCATCGTGTCATTGCTTTGAAATCCGGTTGGGCCTGTAAAGGGTTTTGGAGCAGAGAAAAGAGCAGTGTTGCTAATGTCCTTATTTGCAATAGCCAATAAGGACATGAGTGGTCAACTTTTGGACCAGTTCTTTTACCTTCAGTTATGCAATCCTGTAGTTAACTTTGACGCTAATCTAGCATGTCAGTCTTGTGTAGTTTTCGTAGCACAATGGGTCTAAATGCTGCAGTCAAATTAGCGTTAAAGGCTATAAAGGAGCTTTTTAGCATCACGGTGAGACTTGTGCCATCTGAACTTTTGCAAGTCCTTTCAGATCTGGATGATTTTAAGGCCTAGTTAAAGCTAGCAGCAGAGTCTGTTTTTCTGGCCTTTTTTGGAGAGGCACAAAGAAAAATAATCTGAAATAAGTGATTGTCACTAAGGAAGTGCTGTGGGCTCAGTATTGATAATAAAAGCAACACAATAGTGTCATAAAGTACACATTCATTTCAGTTATTGTTGGATCTCTTTTCTTTTTTTTAAATGACCCATATAGATCTACTCTACACTTAAAAAAAGCATTTTTTTTTTTCTGTTTTTGTTTTTTAAACAAAAACAGAAATGCATTTCTGTTCAGTTAAAAAAAATAAATAAATGAAAGAGTAGAACTGTTTTTAATCCTTTAAGACAGATTTAACACAAGCAAAGCAGGGCTAATACAGCTGACTGCTAATACACAGTCACTTTAGGTTTCCATGTTTCGAGTCAGGTTTTACTTTAAATCTAGAATAAAGCCTGAGCTGAGTTTGATGCTCTGAGGCTGTTTTCATGCTGATTTTCAAAAGCAGGTAAATTTCTCAGAGCTCAGGTCATTGAACGCGTGCACATGCAGCACATACTCCAATGTGCCGAATATTTTTTTTTTTTTTAGCCAACGCCTTTAACAATGATTAGCTAAATGTTCTGCACAAGCTTGAAGACCATGTGCATACTAACTAATCAGTAACTTGATCAGCCGTCCACATTGTGCAGGACACGCCAGGATGAGGAAACAAGTGTAGAAAAAATACTGTTAAGCATGTGTCGGTGTCATGACTGACATGCTCCATTGTTTCTGAACTCCAGTGCAATTTTGCTGTAAAACTAGTTAACACAGCTTAAAAATCATTATCATTCACTTCTTTAAAATAATCAGTTTATGAGAACAAGTCTTCCATGTAAATGTGCCAATTTCCTCTTTTGTAACTTCCAAGTGTAAACGCAGCATGTTGCACATCGTTTGGTACTTCACGTCTAGTCTTTATCAGCCGGTTTCAGTGCTTAAAGTGGAACCTTGAATCCAAAATGAGCTTTAGCATTACACTAACATCATTCTTCATTGTTGTGTTGGCATTTATTAATTTGTCATCAGTGATTTCATTCTAAACAGAGCTTGGTTATTAGTGTTTATGAGTCTGTTGGGTGCTTCGTGATAATCACACATTGGATCACATCAGCGCATCTGCTTTCCTTTTTTTGAATCTGTCTGACAAATCTGTCAGAGGCACGCTGGGTTTAGTGTGCTGTGAAATGCAAATTTAGAAAAGCAAAAAGTGCAGGTTTGAGAAATTCTTTTTTTTAAATTCTTTTATTTTATTTTAATTTTAACCTCAGATCACTCCATGCTTTATTTGAGGTTTAAGGTCATGTGCCTTGACTACTTAAGAGTGTTTGATTGTTTGGCCTCATAAATTTCTTGGTTGCCGTGTCTGGATGATAAGTGAGTGTCCTGCTGCGCATCTACCTTTAAACATAACGTGTAGCATCGAAGAACGCTGTGTTGCGTTGTCAAATAGAAAGAAGGGAACGTGAAGGTTCGAATAATGACTTTTACAACTGTTTAGATTGAGCATATCAACAACGATTTCTGTTCAGTTCTTCTCGTGTGGCTGAAAACAGCCTCACTGTTCTTTGTGTCCTGTGTGTTGAGCAAAATACCCAGAATAAGAGAAGCGTTATGGGTCCCTTTCACATTGCTGAACTTTATAATTACTTGGCTATGTGACACTTTCACTATGTTTAAGCTGTTACCGTTTGACCGTTGTGTCTTTCTGAGCCTCCATAAACATTAAAAATTATTTTAATTGACTATTTAGTAACACAACTTGCAACAGCATGCTTTTCTTTTTTTTCTTCTTATGTTCCTGTGGTAATGGCTGGTTTCATGGACACAAGCATAAACCGTAATTAAAAAAAAAAAAAAAAAAAGCAGCCAGAGTGTAAATGTCTTAAACCTGCATTCTACCTGAAGGTCAAAAAATGGTCATAGCTGTGGCTGCAAAAACCTTTGTGGTCCTATAGACGTCTGTGGGAAAACATAACGCTTTCCTAGCGAGTTTATGGGCTCGGTCACTTGTTTAACGTCCCACTCAATTTACAAAAAAAAAAGAAAAAAAAAAAAGAGAGGAAGTCTGTTTGTTGTAAATCCTTGTCATTATGTTTCAAAATAGTGTTATCTACACACTCACTGGCCAAAAGGTGATCACTCACAAACCATTAGCGAATAAGCGTAGGAGCTTTGTGGTCATTCCTGCCCCTTTTTGTCACATCCTGTTGTTTGCAACCAAAGATGAAGGCGGCAGGACCGATCATGTCACGGCTTCAGATTGGGTGATGTCGCCGTGGTTACGTCCATCTTTTCTGCTGTCAGTCTCTTGGTCATTTTTTTTGTTGATACATTTTTTTTAAAAAGCCAAAGTTTCCTCAAATCTTGGATGCTCACCAATTTGCAAAGGAATCACCTTTTCAACTTTCATGTACAGGAATCCAGTAGTTTCTCTGCATAAAAGATTGCATGCAATCCAACATATTTTGATAATGTTGTTCAAGGCGTCAGCACTACTTGTTTCTTACAGTCACTGTGGCATCACTGTCATATACACGAGTCACCTTATTTGATTGTGCCCTAGATCACTCATCGTGCTGCAGTTAGGAAAGTCTTGACATTCAAACTGTTGATCTCTTGACTCGATCAATCACATAAGTGTCTGCGTTTGTTCAGGCAGATTAGCTCCCTTAAAGCTGCTCGACAGGTTAAAAGTAGCAAAACCAGACTATCTTTATTCCAAAGGCTGCACTGTAGTTCTTTTCAGGATAACCTGGTTTCACATATTCAGTGTTTACAAGTGTAATGTTTGCACCTACTGTGGACCCTCAGCTGCTGTGACCAGTAGGTGCTATGCTTTAGGGCAGTAGGAAGAAGGAAATGTGATTAAAGGTAAAGCAGCACCAGTTTAGACCTTCCTAACTGGAAACTCGCCTCTTATCACACTCTGTGGAAGGGTGAGGCTGTGAGTGCTCAAAGCAGATGGATGCAGCCTTGTTTCACTCATTGTCGGCTTGTTTCGGGGAACTGCAGACACATGTGGCCACATTGATACCCGACACCCTAAATACACCCTGAAAACTTCACAGTGCATTGTTCTGAAGAGCAGCCATGCTACTCCCTTTGTTCTGTGTTGTGCCTCATTGCTTTGTTGACTTCCACTTGAAAGACGAGAGCTGAGGCAACTGTAGTCAAATCCGAAGTACCGCTGAATGCACACAGAGTGCTTATGTCATGCCTACATGTGCTAAAACATAATCAGAACTTATGTTAATTTTTTCCCACTAAGTAGAGATTTAATTGAACCAAATTAAACCTGGCCTTTTATTAAATCTACAAGTACGTTTAATTCCTTGTGATCAAAACGACTTAATTATCCAGAGTGGCCCAATGGTAGTGACAATATGTTTAATATATTATTTTGAGGTAAAGCCCAATGAGATGCACCAAGCGTGAGCAGTTCACACAAGCAGAGATAAGAAACAGAGTGTGCATTACTAGCATACCAGTGAACAGGTGTAGTGATTTACACATTTGTGATTTTGGGAGGAGACACAAATCCATTTAGGGTTGTCAGGAAGGGCATCTGTTGCAAAAACAGGCTAAATTAAGCGTGCAGAGAATAAGAAGAGTTCAAATTAGTTGGGTTTTTTGTTTGTTTGCTTCATAGAAATTTACTGTAATGTTAGGTTTTAGTGGAAGATTGAGGATGATCACTTTCTAAAGGACTCCCAGAAATGCCCCAAAAATATTTTACAGCAGGTACTATTCATAAACTTTGACTCAGCTCAGTTTTTTCTAATTATATAAATGTACACTGATGTGAAAATGTCAGCGGGGAGACTAAGGACAGCTAATGTCTGAAGGCAACTTCTTATTTGGTTTGTGACTTATTTGTGTTTCCTGTTACAGTCACACTGTAGGTTCCCATTATATCATGTGTGAAATGTGATTTTTATGCTATAATGTTTATCCTCTCAATAAAGTCCATATTGTTTAAGTCTCTCTCTGCTTACCGTAGAGCATGAGGAAGTTCAAATAGATCCTGGTGTAATACCATAACCCAGAATTGCATAATTTCCTAACAAAAGCTCTGTTGATGTGTTTGATTGGTTCCTTTCTTAAGCTGACAGGTCACATTAGTCATCTGTCATGCCCATTGGTCTAAGAGGCCTTTCATTGCATTGTACCAGGTCCGAGTTGTACCGGCGTGGTTTCAGTGTTTGAGATAATCACACCTGTCTGACAAGGAAGGTCCTTCCCAGAAATGGGCGGGTTCAGTACAGCAGAGTGGGCGGAGTCTGCGATGAAGTCAACTTTAAGATGAGTGAGAGGTCTGATTCAGCAGCAGAATGCAACAGGAAGGTTTAGTGTTAAGTCCTCGCTGGGCCAAATATAGCCACGGACGATCCATCAGCAGGGGTGGCGTTGCTGCTTGTTGTTGTTAGTTGTTTTCAGTGCATGGAGACACTTCCAGCCTCTCAGACTGCCGGTGGCTGACTCGCGACTGGACTTCAGGAAGCAAACTGATTCAGCTGCTATAATGTGCAGCTTTCAAGGAAGTAGTTAGAAGCGGAATGAACTGTTTTGTCAGAAAGGGCTACGACGACAGAGCCCCGTTCTCCAGCTGAGTCATCCTGAAGCAGCATCTCCGTTACATGTGTACAATTATGAAGTTCAACCAGTGTGTACTGCAGGACGCTCCTGCGAGCCACAGCGAGAACAGGGTCTGGAAATGGTGAGAAGGCTTTCTAGCATCTTCTGTCTTTCTCAACAGAGAGAACATGTTCAATAGGTGAAATATTAACTGGCATGCCACCGCTGCCAGACAGATGTTCAGAGAGTTGCACTCCAGTGACCTGCAGTGTAGGTAATATTAAACTGCTTCTTAAGTTTAGACAGAGAATTCCACTTTATTTTTGCGGCTCGGTAACAAAAATAAACATTTAAAAGTTGTTGTTTATGTGTGCCGGGCTTACTGATTGAAAGGGGAAGGTCAGGCTGAGCATGCTTTGAGGTGGTCAGAGGAGAAACTGTCCATGAATGGATCACAGCTTGTCGCTGCTTCAAATGCTAATGAAGTTTTGCTTTTGTCTCATGTGATTGTGTTTGAAAGCAGGCCTGCACTGCTCAGTTTTAGATGTTTGGACACGTGTGTGTGTGTGTGTGTTCAGGTCAGTCAGAGCCAAATCATTTGAAATGTTTTACTACATGTAACTAGTCCTCTTGTTTTAAAGAATGTACCAGCCCTCACAGCCTTTGTAAGTAATCTGTGATTGTTCTAATTTTGAGTTTGGGGGTATTTTGTCTTTACGTCATTTTAGGGTTTTTTTGTTTTTTAAAGAAAGGGGAACTGAATGTGTCATTGCTTTTTCATCTGTTATGGTGGGAGTTTCGTAGGTGTGTTTGCTGTGGGGTTTTTTTGGGGGGGGGGGGTTTAAACACTGGTCACTGTTTTATCATATGGGGTTAGTCGGAGTGTGTTGCTTTAACAGTGTGGCAGCTGTTTTAGAAGCATGTAATATGTCCTCGGGTGAGGATTAAAGCTTTAAGGATGTTGAGTCAATCTATTGCGTTGATTCCTGTGACATTGATTCAGAAGAAGTGAAAAAGCGGGTCAGTGTGGTTGTTGCTGCAACTTCCAAATTTTTAGCATTAAAAAAAAATAGCAGGTCATGTGCATTTGCTGTTGACAGAAAGCTGTAAACTATATGTAGAGATGTAAGGTCTCAACACACTCACGGAGGGAAGAACCGTTACAGGCTGATGGAACAACTTCAGCACCACAGATATGATTTGGTACTTTGTCTGATTCCTGTGGTCACCCACACATTCAGTGCTGATTTCACAGAAATACTCATGTAGGTTAATGCATTACTTAATAATTATTCATTTTTGTATGTGTTTGCATGTCCAACTGTATCCATGAATGCGCTGAAGTCTTGTCATGAGTAGTTTTGGAAGTTTTTGCACCAGGATAGCCACATGATTTTATTTCATTCCTGAGGTCTATGCTCGTTCTACAGCTGAAATTGAAATGTTGAAGTTTTATTGATAACAGATAAGGGAGAAGTTGTTCTGTGAAAATCTATTCCTCTCGGTAATTTAGCCACCTGACTGTAACGAGGCTCAACACCCCACAAAAAGTCATGCTGATGCTAAGCTAATTAATGTTCATTTTGTTTCAAAGCTAATGCTGGGTCGGTGCATAATACTCCTATTGTATCATGCATTTTAAGTGGCTTTAGTGGTTTGATCCAAACGTTTATTAAAGGATTTACTGAAATGTGTAGATGCGGTTTGATTAAAATCAATAAGGAAGGATTTTAAAAAGCTCTTATATGAAAGTGTGTTTTTAAAATAAATAAATAAATAAATAAAAAATAATGAGTATGTTTGACTGTGCAGTTATGCTACTGGTGACGGAGCCTGAATAATTTCTGACTTTTCACTCCTGTAACTTTAATTGCATATATTTCCAGGGCTGTAAAACCAGCTTCTTGCATAGGAACTGCTTGTACAGAAACTAGAATCAGCTGATTCTAGAGTCATTAAGTTCCTAATATGTATGGCAGAGCTGTAACTAACTCAGGTCAGCAGACTTATCTCTTTTTAACCTGTGAGAGTTTCATCCGTCCTGTTAGTTTCTACTTCAACGTTTTAATCAGATGTTTGTTTGTTTTTTCTTGCATATTTTGCAGTTTTGTAAGGATTTTAATAACCGAGATGATCATGGGGTTGAGTCAGAACCCTGCAGACAGATTCACAAGTGTGTGGCAGCAGAGCTAGACAGTAAGCCGACATGTCTAATTGGATAGGTTCTGAGCAGCCTTGGTGGCGATGAACAAGAGGAATTTTCAGTTAGCTGATACAAGATGTGTTGACTAAGATCTCGGTGCTCACGTCCCAGGCCCTTTACGTAAGCCGGTGATGCAGCTCGGTGCCGTTTTGCACCAAGTGACGATGTCTTTGTTCGGACCTGTTTCTTTGTTCAGGCACATTCAGGATCCCGCCAGCCAGAGGCTGACGTGGAACAAACCACCAAAAAGTGTCCTTGTCATCAAGAAGATCCGAGATGCCAGTCTGCTACAGCCTTTCAAAGAGCTCTGCAGGTTCCTCACCGAGGTAACCACAAACCGAAGGGCGGGGGGCAGCGTTTGTTGGTGGGAAGCTGCTGAGTGTTAATGTTATACCGCATGTCCAGTAAAAATAACAGGCTCTCGATTGTCGTGTGTCATTTAGGTGAAAAGCATGATTGTTTACGTGGAAAAGAAAGTCCTGGAGGACCCAGCCATTTCAGGCGATGAAAACTTTGCGGCCGTTACAAAGAAATTCTGCACTTTCAGAGAAGGTAGGGACACCAGTCATCTCTGATCCAGTTACATGAAGTGTTTATAACTTTTCTTTTTTTAAAATAAGAGATTTAAATGAGCTGTTGTCTACATATCTCTTAGATCTCGACGACATCTCCAACCGTGTAGACTTTATAATCTGTCTCGGTGGAGATGGAACTTTGCTGTACGCATCTTCGCTCTTCCAGGTATTCAGCCGGTTGCTCACGCCGCACTCTGTGCGTTTTTGCTTTTGCTGCTGTAAACATAACCGTCTCCTCCCATCGTAGGAGAGCGTTCCACCAGTCATGTCCTTCCACCTGGGTTCCCTGGGCTTTCTGACCCCATTCAAATTTGAAAACTACCAGTCTCAGGTCAACCAAATTATTGAAGGTAATGAATGTTTTCTAACTGGTCTTTCAGCCTCCATGTTTGTATGACCTACTTGTACAAATCTTTCCATTCTTTTTGCGTAGCTGAAAGTTTTTGTGTGTTATTTTCCGTAAAGGAAGCTTAAAGCATTTGTACTGATTGCAGGTAACGCTGCCATTGTCTTAAGAAGTCGCTTGAAAGTGCGGGTGCTCAAAGAGAACTGGGAAAAGAAGTCCAGGGTGGACGAAAAGGGGATCATTTTGACCAACGGGGACATTGAAAGTAGCCGCAAAGCCATGCAGTATCAGGTAATGTGTCCACCTCGCATTGGGACATAGACATTCAAACTGTTCCTGCTGCAGAATGCAGATTCACAGACGATTGTCCCCTGTAGGTTAGAGCTTCTGGTTCTCCGATAAAAGTTTTTGTCACATAACTGCAGGGTCCAGCTCCCCTCGCAGCCTCAGCCCGCGCTAAAAATAGGTCAAAACGGCTCGCTAATGCAGTTTGCTCGTCCTGACTCGGCCGTCTTCAAAGAAGGCGCCTGCAGGCTGTTAACCTGCTGTTTAAAGAGCGGCAGGAGCAAACTGAGTCATTAGCGAAATGTAGCTCTGACCGCACGTATGAGGTTAATGGCTTCTGACAAATATTTGTACTGGCACAAATCCAACAATGTGGTGCGAGTGGGTGACATCATATCAGCAGACATGGGGGTTGTGGCAAATTGAAAATCGTTTGATGTGTGAATTGTGTTTTTTTTTTTTTTTTTTTTTTTTTTTTTTTTTTTTTTTTTTTTCTTCTTTCTCCTCCCTCCCACAAATCTGCAGGTACTGAATGAGGTGGTGGTGGACCGAGGACCCTCCTCCTATCTCTCTAACGTAGACCTGTTCTTGGATGGACACCTCATTACTACGGTGCAGGGAGATGGTGAGTGGCATGAGAGCGCGGAGACTTCGAGGCCGTCCAGAATCAGGGCGTGCTGACAGTGAAATCAGATCAGTGCTGCGTGCTGATAAGGCTAACAACAGTTTTGCTTCACTATGTGCTTATTAGAATGAAAACAACGGAATTTGAATGAAAACAATGGAATTTGAATGAAAACAACGGAATTTGAATGAAAACAACGGAATTTGAATCAAAACAACGGAATTTGAATGAAAACAATGGAATTTGAATCAAAACAACGGAATTTGAATGAAAACAACGGAATTTGAATGAAAATAACGGAATTTGAATGAAAAAAATGGAATTTGAATGAAAACAACGGAATTTGAATGAAAACAATGGAATTTGAATGAAAACAACAGAATTTGAATGAAAACAATGGAATTTGAATGAAAACAACGGAATTTGAATGAAAACAACGGAATTTGAATGAAAACAATGGAATTTGAATGAAAACAATGGAATTTGAATGAAAACAACGGAATTTGAATGAAAACAACAGAATTTGAATGAAAACAACGGAATTTGAATGAAAACAATGGAATTTGAATCAAAACAACAGAATTTGAATGAAAACAACAGAATTTGAATGAAAACAATGGAATTTGAATGAAAACAACGGAATTTGAATGAAAACAATGGAATTTGAATGAAAACAATGGAATTTGAATCAAAACAACGGAATTTGAATCAAAACAATGGAATTTGAATCAAAACAATGGAATTAGAATCAAAACAATAGAATTTGAATCAAAGCAATGAAATTTGAATGAAAACAATGGAATTTGAATGAAAACAATAGAATTTGAATGAAAACAATGGAATTTGAATGAAAACAACAGAACTTGAATGAAAACAATAGAATTTGAATCAAAACAATGGAATTTGAATGAAAGCAACGGAATTTGAATGAAAACAACGGAATTTGAATGAAAACAACGGAATTTGAATGAAAACAATGGAATTTGAATGAAAACAATGGAATTTGAATCAAAACAACGGAATTTGAATCAAAACAATGGAATTTGAATCAAAACAATGGAATTAGAAATGGTGGGTTTTAAAGGTAGAAAAGCCAAATGGCTGCTCTCTGGGACTCTTAAGTGTTCAGGATATCCATGAGTCACTGCAAAGGTTTGGCTTTTTTATTTTAGGAAGAAAAATGTCTAGAAGCTTCTGCACAAAGTTCTTCTTCTGCACAAGAATTACTAAGGGGTGACGGTCAGTCAGAGATGCAGGCTGAACTTTGCCCTTCGTTACACTCTTTTGATGGCTCAGTGCATTAAGTACCTGGGCTTCAGTGAAAATGTGCTTTTGCATCTCTGTCCACTCAGGTGTGATAGTCTCCACACCCACAGGCAGCACAGCGTACGCAGTGGCAGCAGGAGCTTCCATGATCCATCCCAACGTCCCAGCCATCATGATCACCCCCATCTGCCCGCACTCTCTCTCCTTCAGACCAATCGTGGTGCCGGCCGGGGTGGAGCTCAAGGTACTGGCGAACTTGCCAAAAAAGCTCATTCATCACGTGCATTTGCTATTATTTATTTGTTTTAACAAGAAACAGGCAAGTCTTACAAGTAGATCTCGTTTGAATCTGAGCGGTAACGCCACACACACAAAAGATGAAGCATGTTCTTTCTGTGACTTCTGCATTTTTTTTCTGCGTTGCCTCTCAGATAATGCTCTCATGTGACGCCAGAAACACAGCATGGGTGTCGTTTGATGGACGAAAGAGACAAGAGATCTGCCACGGGGACAGGTTAGTCTGGATGCCGAGGCCATGATATAGACATAGACACACACTTGATAAGTTTAACGCCCCTGCAGCTGCCTCAACACTTAAAGGCTTTGTTATGTAACCTTATCAACCTGCCTTAATGGGCTTGAGTCCATGAGTGTCTCCTGAGTCCGATCCAGCTTCTTCCTTTATGTAACTCAGCAAAAACATAATCAGCTTTCTGGTTATTGGAAGAGAGCTGCCAGGATTCCTCAGTAAATGCCTGCTGTTTTCTTCTTCTTTTTTTTTTTTTTTATAAGGAAGTTTGAAGACAACACCTCTTTTGTTGAGACTGCAAACAATGAACATTTTCTTTCCTTGTTCAGTCCTTAAAAAGTACAACTCCTTTCATTTATTTATTTATTTTTTTCCCATTTCAATTCTTGCTCCAGTATTACCATCACCACTTCCTGCTTCCCCGTTCCATCGATCTGCTTCCGGGACCCGGTTAATGACTGGTTCGAGAGCCTGGCCCAGTGCTTACACTGGAACGTGAGGAAGAAGCAGAACTACCTCAGCTCAGAGGATGAGGAATTCTGAGGCCTTCTTCGGGGTCTCCTTAAAGTCTTGGTTTTAGCTTGACCGTTCTCTGTGCCATTTTTTTTTTTCTTTTTTTTCCATCTTTTACGGATAGAAGGTCTCACCAAACTCTCTTCAAAAAAATAAAAAAATCTGTTATAATAGTTTTCAGTAAAACGAGGTTGCTACAGCCCCTCATTTCATCCACCTTCATGGCAACAGTTTTAGTTCCCCCACCCCCTCATGAAGACAGCTTTCTTTTGATTGGCTGCGCTTTGTAAACAGAAGGTTAGGGATTGTCTGTTCTCACTGACATCATAAATACCCAAAACTAGAAGGAAAAAAATGACTGAGCAGTTTGAAGCTCTACCAGTGTACCACTGTGCATATATGATAGAAAATAAGGACAAGCATTCAAGGTCCTTTTAATTAAAAAAAACAAACAAACAACTAATACTAAGTCCTACTTTCTAAAATACTGTTTCATCATTCTTGTTTTTTGGTAAACATTTCGTTCACGACAGTAAAAAGCTAAGCTCCTGTAACGACTGCAATTGGCTGAAATGTGGACGCTGCGACATGCCCTTAAAATTCAAAATATGACTTTAATAAATAAAAACAAATGAGCATTTTTAAAAGCATTAGTTAAAGAAAATTAAACCAAATAAATTTTTTTTTTCTTTGTGAACTTTGAAGCATTAATACAATTTCCCAAATGTTCCCACTGGACGTTCGGTGTGTAAGACTTTTAAAACGATGGATTTTTGAATGGAGTTTGGTTCCAGTATTACTCCAGGATCTGAATGCTGTGAAAACCTCTCCTTTCTTGAAGTTGAGACTTCAGCTTGTTAACAAAGTGTTTTGACTAAAAATGAAAAGGAAATGCAACACTTGAAGTGATCTTGTACTGAAACTTAAAGGTCAGTTGTGGTTATCAGATGGTGGTTATCAGATGTGTCGTAGCACTTTTTAATCAGATGGCAGGGTAAAAACTAGCTCTCTGTGGGGGTGACGGCAGAGTTGCACCTTCCAGGAAAGATCCAACTCTGGAAAAAAAAAAAAAAATGGATGTAATGCTATCAATGAAAGGCAAATGTTGTTTTTAGAGGTTTTTTTTTAGTTGCGTCTCATGGAGGAGCAGATTTAAAGTACATCTACCTAGCAACACAACATTACAGACTGTGCCTTAAACACTGGTATCATTCATGTAAAGAAGTAATATTTTTCAAGGTTTACACCACACTTTTTAAAAACAAAAACAAAAATCACAGATTTGTGTTTTTGTGCATTCTCATTGTTACCACATTGTGACTGTTTGTCTGCGCTGTTCACAGCACTTGATTGTCACTCGTTTGTGTCATTTATTACATTGTGTAATATCTCTACTATCAACCACGGGGTGAACACTAGGAGGCGGTATCCATTCCAGGCTAAGAGAACACAGATTGGAAGTCTTCGTATTTCATACTTTGTATTTTTAAAGTCTGCTTTTTAAAATGTGCTTTAAGCCATAGTATATTTTATAGACCAATGGCTGTGGGTGGTTTAATGGTCTGTGTGTGAGACTTTGGATCTGTTCTTATCAGTTTACCCCTGTGCTGCCTTTCGTGATTACTTTGAGGTGGCCTGCCTTACATGTCTGTTCGGGCTTAGTGCCCGGAAGTTAATATATATGTGTTGTGAATTGGCTCAATAAACTGTGTCAGGGTGAAAAGATGAATAGCTTTCATCTGTAACGCTAAACAAAAACCACCCGAGCACTAACAGCTAATTATTCCTTAAACCTTTGAGTATGTATATAAATGTAATGTTTGAATAAGATGTATTTTGTAAAGTTCATGTGTTTATTAACAGTTTCTAATGTATTACTAATGGATAATAAATCTATTTAGTACTTTTTCTTTTACATTCTTTGGTTGTAAATTCTGTTTCACTGATGAAGACCAATCTGCTTTTAGTAGTTCTGCTCATCCAACTGAATTTCTAGCACGGTGTCATTGGACAGAAGTACAAACTGAGTTAAATATCTCTTGAAATGCATTCCAGGACAAAGTGAAAAATGTCATTTCTGACGTGGACGGTGGCAGAATTATTTCAAATGTTGGTCTGAACTGTTTAATCTCAGTTTAAAAACACACACGCGAAGTTCAGTAAGATAACCAGGCTTTGACGACCCTTCTGTGAAGCATTGTCAACTCTCAAAGTGCTTTTCACTTTTGTAAATGGGAATTTTGTATGAGTACACTTGTTAATGTTTCTAATATGGAGTCTGATATTTTTCCCAAAACATTTAATAAACAGGGTTAACCAACAACCGTCTGATCATGTGCTTCGACAAATGAAACCAGTTATATGATAAAATCACGGGCATTTGCACAGAGTTACTTTAAGTACAGTCCTGAGTCACATGGTACTCGAGATCCCCCAACGCCATGGAGTGAAGTGCAGGCTTCAGTGAGAAGTAGATGGATCAGCTGGTCCCGTGTCAGGTCTTTGCTGACTTTCCCCCCCTCTTTCTTAAGGACGTAACTTTCAGATAATGTTCACCTGCTGTAGATCAGGATTTTATTTTATTTTTAAAGTCCTGCCACTTTTTTGTCCTTCGTCCTGTCCAGTTTCCCCAAAATGTTTAAGTACACAAGTACATCACGCCAAGTTATAAGTTTTCACCCGATAGCTCTGTTTTGTGACGTTTCCAGCAACAAGGAGCCTAAAGAAACCATTTAAAATAGCTACTTTGCCCAGTTGCCTGTTATAGAGACACAACACCGGTTCATCCTTTGATAAGGTGTTTTTTATGCTTGAATGATTCATCATGATTCAGTTTTAAGTGGCTTAACATACACAAAAACATTCCTCTGAAAATCCTCGTGTAAAAGGTGACTGAAAAGACCACTTTAAAAAGTTACGTTGACGTCAGCCTGTTATTGTGACGTCAAATGTTGTTGTACTTCTCTCCATGCCCTTTCATATGATACATGGTTTCTTGGGCAGTGACAATTATGGTCAAGGTCAAATACAAGGCCTGGTATATTGTTGTGAAGTTTGAAAACAATCCACTAAGAATTGTGGGTAATATAAAGTTATTAGTGATTTTCACTTTTGGTCTGACCTTGAACTTGACCCTAAATTAAATCAGCTCGAGCTGTTATTGGTATGTACCATCACACAAAATTTGAAAATGATATATTGAAAACTGGGCGATACACTGCTAACGAACAGACGGACAAACAGAAGGATTACACACTCCCTCCCTTTGGAGAAGTACAACAACGTCTGGCTCACTGAAAGCAAAATATGAGGAGTGGATCGAGACTTGCACAGAGCTGCATGTCCCAAAAAGATCAGTAAATCAAAATGTCAAAGTTTTTGTTAAAATACTTTATTAAGAACTTTGGATGAAAAAAACAGGAGCGCATGAAAGTGCAGCAGACAGTTTAAAAAATATGTCAATAAAAACACGGCTAGTCGTGGTGGTCGACTGCACGAGTTAATTTACACATTTCTAATTTTAAAAAGCAAACTTAAATCAGTCATAACTGTGAATACAATTTACAGGAAGAAATCACATTTTTTAAAAAGTGGAGGATGTTGGCAACGCTACAAAACTCGATTTAGGTGTTAAAATGCATATTGGTGTAAAAACGATTATATGAAGCTGGTTTACAAACGCATGTTGACAGGATACCAGAACAATCTACCTGCGTGGCGACATTCAAAGGAAATATTTTAGTCGTGCCACAGAGAGCGACAGAGCGTACGCTCAGCAGGGGTAAAAACAATGGAGCTCATAGACTCAGTGAGCCATGCTTAGCTAATACACGTAATGCACTAATATAAAAGTGTTGGCACAACCTAGATAGTGAGGACTTAAATACAGAGAGCTGCATCGCACGTCATGATGCATGCACGTATTCAGGTACAGACTGATCATATCAGATGCAAACATCTGATATGATCAGATTCCTTTTTCGGTTACTGTTTGAGTACTTTTATGTAAAATTATAATCTGTTGGTGTTGTTGTTGTTGACTTAAATAAAAAATAAAAAAAAAAAAAAAAACCCCTGAGAATTCATTTAAATTCTGTAAACAGGGACGCCGCTGAAGCCAGAAACACATTAACATTCTTACAGTATACAGAACATGGAAAAATAAAACAATGCTGAGTGATGATTTTGGCACACTTGATGCTGAATACAAATGTGAGCTTCGCGGTCAGCAGCACGGTGCTTTAAGCCCACAGCGTGCAGCTGTTTCCTTGGTCCTGATGTTTTATCACCTGTTATGTGCAAACACTGTGAAGAGCAATAAAAAACAAGGGTTTCAGTATTCTGATGCTCAAGTTTGGCAGATTCAGGAAAACTCTGGTTTTCTTACAATCAACATCTCGAACAAACAAATTCAGGGTATTTAGGAAGAAACAGAAACTGCTAACTCGGTGTTCTGCAGATGCAGTGTGTGTTTAGTGTTGTGCTCAAAGTAACTCTTAAGGGACTGAAGCAGTAAACTCACTTCTCTCTCTCAGGCCTTGTCCAAAGCTGTGTACCAGTCTGATGAGGCCCCAGAATAAAACCACTTTGATCACCAGTGAAATCAAAGCCCCGGTTATAGCAGCTGCCTCCACTGTGTACGTAGTGTCCTGGAACCATTTCTCTGCCACCTGCGATTAAAGCAAAATCATTGTTTCCCCGCAGGCGCCTGTATCTGAGTGCACGGCTCAGCCAAAGAAGGGAACGACAACATGCGGCGTCATCCTCACATCACAGAGGCGCTGTCCTCTGTGATGTGAGCAGCAATCGTGTCAGAAAGTGCTTTTTGGGGGGTTTACTGGAAATACTGAAAAACACTGGAAAGTAACTATTCAAGTGCTACGCTAACTGCATTTATTACTGCACCTACATCACTCCCTGATGAGCAAATGCCCAACTTCACAGCACAAATAAACGGATTTGAAGTCTTGGAATAAAAAAGGTTTATAGCTGTTTCCACTGTGTTGCTGTGCAGGACTCACTGTGAAAGGAAATCTCTGCTTTGAGTGACTTTCGTAGTGACAGAAAGACTGTATAAGATGTCACCTGTTATGCTAGCCATGTTAGCATCCCATTTAATAATACAGTGCACTCCGCTACCCAAGCTTTACATCTACTATCATCCATTGATTGTCATGTCCAGATTTGAACCTTGAGGCTTCAAAAAGGTAGCCAGCAAACTAACAGGTGACATCAGTGGCTCTGCCATCTGATATATACAGTCTATGAAACTACAAGGACTTTTACAGCCCAGCACCAACAAATTTTGGATAGTGTGTAAAATGTAAATTAAAAAACATCCAGTGATTTGCAAATCTCGTAATCCCATAATAGAAAAATCATATTTGATGTTTGAACTGAGAAAATGAAATCATTTTGAATTTGACAGCAGCGACACGTCTTAAAATCGCTGGGACAGAGCCGTGTTTTACTCTACAGCATCCCCTCTTCTTTTAACAACACCTCCACAGTTGTGGGTCTTTTTAGTTGTATTTTTTTATTTCATCGTGTACCAAACTGGGGAACAACCTGGACTGCAGGAAAGTCACTACCGCACCCAGACTCTTCTACTATGCTGAAATATCCAAGGCCTTCCCTGAAAAATCTCTTGCCTTGATGGGAGCATAAGTCCATTTTAAATGAGCTTTGGCGAGGAGAAGATAGTGGCCCTTCTGGATCAAGTTCACATTTGTGGATGTGTTCACAGTTTTCTGTAATTGCTCCTGAGCCCCTGCAGTGATTTCCATGCTAGCATCGCACCTGTTTCTAATGCAGTGCTGCCTGACGGACGAAGATTTAGTCCTTGTCCCTTGCGCACAGAGATTTCTCCAAATTCTTTGAATATTTTGATGATTTTATGTTCCGTAGATGTGAGATGTTCCAAATCTTTACAATTTTACATAGCAGAAAATTATTCTGAAATTGTTTAATAACTTGTAGATACAATTTCTTTGCACATCTTTACTCCTGAGAAACGCTGCCTCGCTAAGAATATCTTTTTATACCCAATCAAGTTACTGACCTGTTGAAAATTAACCTAATTAGTTTCAAAATGTTCCTCCAGCTGTTTCTTTTTAGTGCCACTTACTTTTACAGACTTTTGCTGTCCAGGTCCAAACTTTCCTGTTTTATTGTAAATAAAGTTCATGAGATTTGCAAGTCATTGGATTTGGTTTTTATTTACATTTTCCACATTGTCCCAAAAAACTCATCACTGAGTCACACTGGCACAATTTTCAAATTATAAATTCTCACAGATATGATAAAATGTGTATTGATCCTCAATAGAAAGATAGCCCCCAACAAAGGCACCGGTCGGTCATATTTGAAGTGCGAGTTGTGTGACGTACTTTGGGACAGTCATTCCTAAGCAGGATTATTATTAGGAAGACTCACTTCATAAAGCACACTCACACAAACGGAACAACAAAATGTGTAGTTAAATAAAATATCTGAATAAATGAGGGGAATCTCAGCCTACCGTGTACATCAGATACACAAAGAATGCCACCTGAGGAACGTTCTGCGCCATAAAGATCCAAACCAAAACTTTCTTTTCCTTTAAAACCTAAAAAACAAAAACAAGTGGTTACAATTGGCTGCTCTTCAGCTTGTGACTGTTTAAAGTGCATCTATGTTTCTTGTCCTTTTTGGTTTATTGTCGCTTGTGACTCTCTGGTGTGACCAGAGGATGTATAAAAAGGTCTCACCGCAACAGCGCCCACAACTGTAGTCAGGATGGCCCAGAACACTCCGACACCCACGATTATGTTGTTGGCACCAGTCGCCGCCAGGCTCGTTGTTAAGATCAGGGCACACAGGCACAACTGAAAAGGTCACACCAACAGCACAACGTCACGAAGCCGCTCATCAGCTCTGTTAAAAACAAACTCACCTCACTGTTGGACGCTGAACACCAAGGAAAAAAAGCATATGACGAGGAGCACGTGCAGGGCGACGTGCAGGGCGACATGCTGCGCGCGTGAAATGCCAAAAATTTCCACTGTAAAAAACAAAAGGAGAACGTGCGTGTACCTGAGCCTGCAGGTCAAAGGTCACCATGGAGAAACACAGGTTTAGCAGGAAATACTGCTCTTGAAGGCACTCCAAGGCTCCGCCCACACGGAACGCCATCATGTTCGGTCTCCGGATGAGCAGCGTGGTGCAAAAGATGTGCACGACGCCCAGGGTGACGATGCACACGAAACGCACCTGCCACACAAACAGATCGCCGCTGTTCACTCAGTTTGTGCTTCAGGTTTGTGCACGGTGAAAAATTAAAGGCAGTTATTACATCAAATTATTCTCTATCATTCATATCAGTCACCCGCCAGTAAAAAAGATGGTTCAGTTTGCAGAAATGTGGCATTATTCAGTAACTCAACACTCAGCTGCATGTAGACTGTCTGTGATATGAACTGCTCTTCCTGGGGCTTTGCATGCTTTTAAACAGAACACTGGTGGAGCTGTAACAGGTTTACCACCTTAGCTTTTATGTATGTTCAGCAAACACCAACACACAGCAATAACCATCAACATGTAGTCTCAACATTCACTCGTTGGATCACTCATTCACACATACAGTCACAGTGACATCAAGTGGTGGAACTGAGAATCATCTAAACGGGAAGTAATCGTTCACGATGCCTGCTGACACCTGTTTTGTTTATTTTGTTTCCTTTCGTGTCTTAACAGCAGCAGCAGGAAGCAACGATGACACTATTCAGAGCTGACGTATACACAGTCGGGTCCAGAAGGATTTTGGATGACGGCACAAATTTGATTTCCTTTTTCTTTTGTACACCATGGCAGTGGATTTTAAATTGTCCAATCAAGCATGTTTGAAGAGCAGACTTTCAGCTTTAATTGAAGGAGTCAAAACTACCTGGAAAATTAAACTGAGCAGATAAAAGCTCTGGGCCCTATTTCAGGAAGCCGGTTTAGAAAACTCAGAGTGAAAAACGATACTCAGGGTTGAGTAACCCCGAACTGTCCAACTCGGAATATTCGGTTTCAGAAAGGCTGATAACAATTAGTTCAATCAACGTGGAGTTGCTTTAACCCCGAGTTAAGGGCGCGCACGAGGATACATAAAGCCCTGATTAGTGGAGCACAGATTAAGCGAGTCACCATGGAGACGGAGGGGAAGAAGGCGCGGTCAATGTATCTTACAGCGCTTGAGGCCAAAATTCTGATGGCAGCATATGCCGATAACATGCAAATTTTGCGGAAAAAAAGTAACACAGCCTCAGCTGCAAAAGAAAGTGAGCATGCATGGCAAAACATAGCCGACAGAGTCAATGCGTGAGTGTTAATTTAAACATTGATCTAGGGATTTCCACCCATTTAACACGTTATTTTATTATATTTTATTTTATTTTTTATTTCATACATTTTATTTCGTGATGTGATTTGAGCGCAGGTGCAACCCAACAGGCCCCAAACGTTCCTGGCAGCAAGTAAAAATGAAATATGAAAATATAGTCCAAACAGGTAAGGTGTAATTGTATCATGAGCCATAGTGCTTGGTCTGTTTGTCCTATGTAAATCAATTGCAGTTAGAGGCTACATTAATTTCCCCTCTGTAAGCACTTATTGAAATTATCTGAGCACATTACAAGTACATATTTGCTTACTCTGTATGCTCAAATGTGACCCGTTATAGCCAACAGAAAAAAAGCGGAGGCCCGAAAAACAGGTGGGGGTCCTCCACCACCACCACTCACAGAGCCTGGCCACTTGGCTTCCACATTTGTGATAATGTTGGCAGCATCACATATGATCTTCACAGTGCAGAGAACACAAATTAGCATCCATTACTATAGTGAAATAATTTGTTAGTTTGACATGCTACAGGGAACTATGTACCTGCACATTAATGCTGTGGAAAGACTTCCTGTTCACATAGTCTCCTTCATTTACTGAAGGAGCAATGATTGGAATGTGAGTGCCATCTATACAGCCAATCACGCCTGGGAACCGTGAGAATAAATGTAAAATTTAAGTAGTAGTTCAAGTATCACCACATCATAAATTAAGTTTCGTTCATCCTGATACCTGCAATTTTGTGGAATCCCTCTTTGATAAATCTTGTGGGTCTATGACCGGGGAACACCACAGACGAGTACAGGAGACGTTTCAGTGCAACTGTAACATTCCTGACTGCCCGACAGACGGTAGCCTTGGAAACGTGCTCAGCGTCACCAATATTATACAGAAAGCTCCCGTTTGCAAAAAACCGAAGTGCAATACAAGTAATATGTACAGAACTGAGAGCATGTCCGCGATGTGTCACATGCGTAATATTAGGCCTGAGGATGTTATTCAAATAAATTATAGATTGTGCTGAAAAACGGTAACGTTCACACAGGAAATCATCAGGAAATGATAAAATGTCCAAACGCGCTCTAATCACTCTCTCCCGGCGGAGAGCTCTGCGGAGAATTTGGGCTTCACGATCTACTGGCTCTTCAAGGAAGGGACACGCCATGTCTGACACTTCCTACTGTCAGGTTTCTGACAAAGGGGCGGAGACAGTCAAGGTTAGTTGAAGTAAACCTGCTAGGGGGCAGGTTAGCTTCACGGAGTGTGTCGTCATAGTAACTCACTCAGAATTAATCTAAACTCGCTTTGTGAAACCGAAAACCCAGAGTTTTCATTAACTCAGGGTATACTTACTCAGAGTTTGCACTAAACCGGCTTCCTGAAATAGGGCCCAGGAGTTCATTCCAAGTGTTTAACTTGTGTTTGGTGAATTTCCCTGTGGAAATCTCTTAATATGAGGCCTGAAAGCATGTTGATATGACCAAAATCTCATATCCCGATAAAAGACATTTCTCATCCTTAGAACATATATACATATATATCACAAAATAGGGCTTTTTCTGTATATTCTGTGAATCTCTGGCAACCCCACTTGTGTCAAGTGTTTTCAGCTGGGAGTGGTGTACCTGGAGTCGAGTGTTTTGACCGATGCATGAAACTGCTGCGAGGAAAAGCCTGTTCTAACGTTTGAGTCTAAGGTTTATTTAGAGCAGCTGACGGCTATTTTTTGCTTCTCATCCATAAGCTCTCTTCACACTCTTTCTCGTGATTCTTGCGTAGTAGTCGAGGTTTGTCGTGGTTGAGTCTGTGCTGGGGACTGGTTTGCGGCAGAATTTGCATAGTACAGTTTTCTGGTCCGTGTCATACTTTCATAACCAAACCATGTCCGTGCTACAGGGGTAGCCCCTCATTTAGGAATAAGGTCCTCGATTTGTTTTGAACAGTCCTTCTGTTTGGAGCTAACGTATTCTGCCTCATTTTTACTGGCTATACTAGGGCTGTGCGATATGACCAAAATCTCATATCCCGATATAAGAATTCTATCGTCCCGATAACGATATAAATCACAAAAATGTAACATGTTCTGTAAATTCTGTGAATCTCGGGCAGATCGTCTTGTGGGCAGTGTTTCCAGCTGCGCGTCATGTAGCTGGAGTCTAGTGTTTTAACCGATGCATGAAACTATACATTTTTAGACATGAGTTGTAACGGCCGCTGTTTTCTTTGTGAGTATTTATTACACGGCGTGATGCGGGGAAAAGCCTGTTCTAACGTTTGAGTCTAAGGTTTATATTTTAGCACCTGGCGGCTCTTTTTTACTTCTCATCCGTAAATAATCTGCTCTTTCACGTGATTCAGTTTATTTTGAAAAGTCTCAACAGGATCTTGAGCTTTATTGTAAAAGGTTTATATGGAACATAAACAAGCGGACACGCGATAGTTTTACGTTGTTGCTAACCACAACGCATAAAAACAGGTGCTTGTCCGTCCATCCTTAGTGTGGTTATATAAAATATAAGAGAAAGAGAGAACTTTAAGAAATGAATATAGCCACTACAGTGACCATCAAAACGATGAAAAAATATTGCTGTAAACAAGACGTTTCTGAGGAGAGTCAGGAGAGTTTTCTCCAAGCATGACATCCCGGTGCATTTCAGACCCAGCAACACGCTCAGGCAAAAACTGGTTCACCCGAAAGACAAAACGCCAAAACACAGACTTAACAATGTGGTGTATGCTGTACAGTGCAGCGAGGAATGCCCAGACCTCTACATTGGAGAGACCAAACAGCCACTTCACAAGCGCATGGCACAACACAGAAGAGCCACCTCCACAGGACAAGACTCAGCAGTCCATCTGCATCTTAAGGATAAAGGACACTCTTTCGAGGATGCCAATGTTCACATTTTGGACAGAGAGGACAGATGGTTTGAAAGAGGAGTGAAAGAAGCCATCTATGTCCACTGTGAGCGACCATCGTTGAACACAGGCGGGGGTTTACGACACCAACTCTCTGCCATCTATAATCCAGTTTTGAGATCCCTTCCCAGACGCCTTAACGCCCACTCACATCCTGGGCCATCTGATCTCAGGAATTCGCATGATAAGGTGGGGCCAGGTTTCACAATGAACTCACCCGAAACTCTGGCTGATTGGGACCCACACCCAGTTTCACACCTTGGCTCAGGCGATTAGAGGATCATCAGGGGGTCCTTTTGTCCCTCTGTGGGGGGATACTCCCACTAGGTTTATATCTGGGACTCTCCACCATTTGACCTTAGAACTGAAGAAGCTTCTCGGATGAGAGGTGAAACGTCTTCAAGTAACTTAAAGAAGTCCAGACGCTTTTCTTTGCAAGCTCCTTTGACTACGATGACCTGGATGACTGAGAACCTTCACAGACACATTGCCGTAAACAGTTTATTTTGCGACACCACGAAACAAACAATAACGTATAATTTGACAGATGTTTTCATATCGTCATCCGATATATCTCATCATATCGCACAGGCCTAGTTGATAGGAGCAGAAGGAGGCCATCTTTAGGCTGAAAAATCAAAGGAAGCTTTCAGAAAAACAGCAAAAACGTTTGGTGTGTCCTAATCAACAATCGGGCTAACTCTGAGCAACCACCGAAGACAACTAGAGTGGATGATCGCAAATTTTTCCTTAGAGTTTAAAAATAACTTCATAACCTCAAAGCAAGCCACACGCTCAAGAAGATATCACTGTGAAAAGTGCAAACCACTGGTTACACTCTAGAATAAGAAAGTGAGATTAGACGTTGCAAGAAAACATCTAAAAGACACTTTGGACAGATGAAAATATGATGGGAAGAGAAAAGTGTGGAGAAGGAGAGAAACCACTTATGATCTGAAGCGTACCAAATTACCTGTCAAACATAGTGTGGGCATGTATTTCTGTTTATTGATGACTACTGACACAAGGAGTACGATTAATGGAAAAGTGTACAGGGCTGTGCTCTCTGCTGAGATTCAACCAAATGCTGCAAAACTGCTAAATCAACCCAAGAGTTTCTCAAGGAAAAGAAACGAGACATTATTGAATGAACAAGTCAGTCACCTGATCTCAACCCAGCGTGCTTGGCTGGAACAGCTCTCTCCGAGCACGTTTTCGGTTACTGAAAACAAAACTGAAGGCAAAGAGACTCACAGCAACTAGCAATGGGAGGGAGCTGCAGTGAAGACTGGGAAGAACATCTGCATTTGGTGATGCTCGTGGGTTCAGACTTCAGGAAGTCAAAAGACATAAAACATATATATCTCAAATTATGTTTGTTTGTCCAATCACTGCTGGGCCTCTTAAAATAGAAAACTGTATAAAACTGGCTGTAATTTCTTACAGTTAATTAAATATTTTGTGAAAAGAAAGCTGAATGAAGTCTGCACTTCAATCACAGGCATGTTAACTGTTTGATTTAAAATCCACTGTGGTGGTGTACAGAGCGAAAACTACAACAACTGTCTCATTTTTGCAGCCATCGGTCAGTCACGCAGGACTTATGGAATATCTTGAAGTTTAATATACTTCTGTCGTGCTAAAGATGTTTTACCGTGTTGTTTTTTTTTACATTTTCTCACATTGCTCATATTAACATTAGTATCTTTTCTGGTTTTGTTCTGCAAATCCAAATCAGTCAAAGTTCTATTTGCTTTTTGCACGAGAAATATTCACGATTCCCTCCAAACTCCTCACCAGCAGCTCCTGTTGGCCTTTCGTACCCAGCACGGAGAAGTTGACCACCGACCGAATCATCACTACCAGCACGCTGAGCACGAACGCCACCAGCTCCTGTCGGTTTTCCTGCAGCACGCCGCGGATGATGTAGTAGATGCAGAACACTGCAGGGGCCAGACAACAGGCAGAGCTCACATTCAGGACAAGCACTTTGAATAAAGATGAAGTATTTGTACTGTGTGTGCACACCGTTTCTCAATCATATAGCTTAAGGATATAAGTATACGATACAAAGCTTTTAATGAAGCTCTGTGTAAAAAATGTTAATGATCATGAACAAAATCAGTTACTTTGCTACTCTGTTCATCAAACATCTCCTCAGAGGTAACGTTTATTCTGCACTAAGCTCCACAATTTATTTGCTAATCATTGCATTTTGCTTTTATTTCGGTTTTTCACAGCATCCCAGTGTTTGTTGGAAATGACGCTTCGAAAGCGACTTTAACCTCCTAAGACCCAAACTCTTCCACAGCATGTATTTTTAATTTCTCTTTGATATTTGTGCTGATTCGGACCTGATGAAAGTAAAAACAAAGAATTACCTGATGTTTTTTAACCTGATTTTTGTTTCTAAGAAAAATGAGAGCCACATATGAGGATATTCGTTTAAAATTTTGATAGACCAGTAGCAGTATAATGTCCTTGTAAGTGGATATCAGGCCCTTGTAGAGCAAAATTGAGTATTGTGGTCTAAATAACCCAAAATGTGATGTCCACATATGTGGATGAAAGGTCATAGGAGGTTAAGCAAAAGTCACCATTTCCTCAAATCTCTACAGGGCAGGTAGAGAGTGCAGCTCAAGTCATTTTTATGGGAAATGCTTCAGCGAGCTGTAAACCTGAGCTATGAGGAAATAAAGCTAGCTCAGTTGACATAAATCCTCACTGAACACATAAGCCACTGGAACTGGCTCCTTCCACTGAAGTTTTCATCATATGATTGCAACAGAAGAACTTCTGCTTTTTAAAAGGAGGCGGTGGGGGTGATGATGAATGCTGCAAATGTCTTTTTTTTTCTTGCCCTCAACAAACTCACCTATTCCAACTAGCTGGATCAGCGACACAGTGAAGTTGTCCTCATCGGACACGTCCGTGTCCGTGTGCTGCTTGTAGAGGCTGGACACGGTGAGGCCGAGCAGCGCCAGCAGAGACAGTATGGCGAAGCAGAAATAGACCTGCAGCAGGCGCGGCAGCTCCGACCAGCGCTTTATCTGCAACAGCATGGAAAGGACAAAGAATGTGAGACAACCTGTGATAGCCACAACAACAACAAAAAAAATCACAAACAAAGCACGACAGGAATGAAAACATGTGCTTCGCTTCCCGGCACGGCAGCACCAGTATCTCACCGGGCCACATGGTGTCAGGATCAGTTCCTGGTGTCTCGGCCTCAGGTTCGGAGACGGAAGGTCCGAGCCATGTGGCTGGTTGCCCAACAGAGGACTGAGAAAGTAAACAAATTTTACATAACTGCAGAAGATGATATTCATTCAGGTCACTAAACTTAAAAAAAGCACTGCTCACTGATAAAAAGAGAAACTCTAAATAAGCTGGGATCCTTCTTCCTGTTACATGCTGCACATTCAAATACAGAAAACATCCCACAGAGGAGGACAAACATAACAGATATTTATCACAGCAAACATTTGAATGTGTCACTGGTTTCGATAACAACATTAATGATTGCTCGGTGTCACAGTGAAAGCTGTGTCTACTTGTGCATTTCCTCCTACAAAATATCAAAGGTTTTCTTATCAGACGACCGGATCATAAAATAAATATGTTTGCAGCACCTTACTTCAGCAAATGCTGAGGTCTATAAAAAGGGACCCCAGGAGACGACAAACACACCCCACGTTACATGCGGTGTCCTCCTAAGGTGTGCTCACTGGTAAATTATGATGTGCAGAGAATCCAAAATATCAGAAAATCAGCTGTTCTTACACTGATACACAAAATTGGCGAACATCGAGTTCTTGACAATTGTAGGCGTTCTGCCTGAAAAACTGGTAGCTGATCAGTTTGTCACTTCTTTAAACAGCACTTCTTCAGCTTTGCACCCAGTGCAGTTTGGGTTTGAACCAATCACTGCAGTGATACAGCAAATTTGGGCTTTTTTTTTACATAGAAAAGTTAAGAGCCTAATTACACAAAGGGAGCTTGTGTTTTCAGTCTTTGCAAAGCATTTGATAGTGTTAATCATTTCTTTTTTTCCCCCCTCTGATGTCCTTTGTTGGATTGAATCATGTCTTCTGAACTGCAGTGACAATTCCATTGACCAATAACTGTCATTATAGTTTTCATCAACAGTCTTTTTATTTTGGAGACGAAAACAAGACGATAACTAAATAGAAACTAATGCACGAGGACAAAAACTATGATGAAATGTATTGACACTTTCATCAATGAATAAAAATGAGATGAAAATATTCTGGAGAGATGAGATCCAGTCAGAACTAATTAAGTTGTTAGAAAAGTGGGATGAGTATGAAAGTTCTCCAATCAGAAGTAATCTCTGTGTGTAATAAGGTCAGACACGCACATTCAATCTGCCTCTGGAAAACAGCACTGTTAGCTCCCATGCTCACTGTTTCACATGAAAACACAACAAAATGTCACTGTTTGCGAGGAATAGGAGAGTAGACATATTGACACATTTAGCATTTGATCTCAAGAAAAAAATGACACATTGTAAACTGTGTGGAGCAACAGTCGCTGGTTAAAAATATGAAAAACTTCTCATATAATCAACAATCAAGCTCTTTGTTTACCTGTGGGTGTTCCTCAAGGCTCATTTCTAGATCCTCTTTTTTTCTTTTTGGTATATTAGTGATTTTCAATCTGCTTGTTGCAAACTAGTAGCACGTGAAAATGCTGGTCTACCATGTCTATTTCAAGCTTTGCCTCTCCAAACGGGAAATGGACACAGATGCAGAAGCTGCAGTAAGTTGCACTGAGTTGCCGTACCAGCACTGGGAGACATTTTATTGCAAGCCAACATGAAAATAATGACGGGAAAGAGCTAAAGCAGACATCACTAACACATTTACATGTACATATTATCTGCCTATCTTAATAGTTACTTAATAGCCTAGCCTAATAGTTTCTGGCAATTAAGGACCCTGTTATGAAGTACACTTACACATACCTTCCTTGCTTAATAACAATGTCTTGGATTTAAATGTATTATCTCCCACTGCAACTTGTGCATGCATGTGCTTTTCACATTTTGAAGAAGAAAATTTGAAATGGACACAGTGGACCGGCGTGTCTATAACATGCTTTGTCGTGATATTGATTGGCTTGTTCTGGAGCTAATACTCTTTGCTGATGATGTTGTTATATATGCATACAGTAATAATGAAACTGAAATGTTCTACCAAACATCCGTGATTTCTTAATTGATATTAATTATTGTATTACTACACGGTCACAGTCTGGCTTTAATACTTTAAAACTATTACAGTCTTTATATAACAGAAGATTGGAAATATTTAATAGAATAGCATTATTGTTATCACTACTGTTTAATTTTACAGAAGCACAGCTTACGTGGCTTTGAAAATCCAAGTATCCAAATTATGTGAAAATTTATAAATAAGACAAATATTCATGTGTTAAACATGTGTTATAAATTTTCACATAATTTGGATCCTCCACCTTTTAGTCATTACCATACTATTAGGGTAAATAGAAAACCAAACTACACAGAATACATACAATATTTTTAAATATCAGTTAAAAAGATGGCCAATCGATAACCAGAATTGCCAGCACTGAGGTGGTTTTATCTTGTTTCTCTTTAATACATCTGTCTAACTTTTCTCCTTTTACATTTCAGTTTACATTCATGCATCCCCAGCAGGGCCTTGAGGTCATGTCATCAGGGCCAACTGGTTGTGCATCATACCAGGCTGAAAACTATACGAGGCAGAGCTTTTGCAGCAGTGGCCCCCAGACTCTGGAAGCCTCTCCCTCTGAGCTTCAGATCTGTAAACTCAAGGGTCGCTTACAAAATGCAGCGAAAAAAATTTTAGATTTGCATTTGGTTTTATCTTGAAAGGTGCTGAAGAAATATTTTATATTTAAGTACTTACATTGTCCCAATTAAAAATATACAGATAAAAATGCAGAAGTCCTTATTGTTACTGCTTATATAGGTTCTTAAACAGTTAATACAAAGACAGATATTTCCCAGCCAGGTGAAATTACTCCATTGGTTGGGAAACTGTCTAGAAACACCATCTTGTAGACAGTTGATCATAACCACGTGACTTACCAAGAATTTCTACAATTGAGGATTGCAAAACTAGTAATTTACCTGAACATGAATCGTGCCCCTTAGTTGGGGCAACTAAAAAGACTGAATGCAAAATACGTTTTAAGCATTAATGTGTCTTTCCTGTTTTGTTCCTCTGGTCGTTTGTCTTTGTTTTATTTGGCTTGCATAAATATGACTTTATTCATATTTCTACAGAGGTTACAGTCGTCCGTGCCAGGTTCAGTCCTCCACATACAGAAGACTTGTTGAACCATAAAGCCTCTACATTAGCTCAGACTCCATATAAAGCTTGTCAGATGAAGACTCACAGTTATAAATAACAATAAATAACCCGTTTATTGATGTTAATGGGTGTGTCCGGTTATAACGAGATAATAAGGTGTACATGTACCAGCTGTCTGATTACATTTTATCACGACACAAAAGCTCGGTGACTAACAGAGAGAGAAATAAAAAGTAACTTTTACAGTTAAATGCACGAATTAAGCTGCTCACCTTATCTCGTCCATTTCCTGGCGGACTACAGCGCAGCAGCTTACATTCCCGAAACCTTTTCAGTTCGTCTCCACCTCCAGCCCACACAACTTCAGTTTCACATTTTGCAATGTAAACAACGGGAACAGTAGCCTGGCTAAATTCTTCTTCTACTGCTTCATTTGTTGCAGCGCGAAAGTGCTGCTGCCCCCTCGTGGACCACAAAGAGGCTTGCACAGATTGATATTCACATTTTCATATTTTATGAATTAAATATATATTTTAATAATTTATATACTCTGCTTGTCAAAAGCTTGGACACATCTTCTCATTAAATGCTTTTTCTTTATTTTTACATTGCAGATTCTTATTGAAGGCATCAAAACTATGAATGAACATATTTAGAATTATGTAGTAAACAAAAAAGTGCAAAATAACTCAAAACATGTTTTATATTTTAGATTCTTCAAAATAGCCACCCTTTGCTTTGATTACTGCTTTGCCATTCTCTCGATGAGCCTCATGAGGTTGTCACCTGAAATGGTTTTCCAACAGTCTTGGAGGAGTTCCCAGAGATGCTGGGCACCTGTTGGCCCTTTTGCCTTCACTCTGCGGTTCTTCTCATCCCAAACCATCTCGACAGGGTTTAGATCAGGTGACTGAGGAGGCCAGGAGATCTGGCACAGCACTCCATCACTCTCATTCTTGGTCAAATAGCCCTTACAGAACCTGGAGGTGTGTTTGGGGTCATTGTCCTGTTGAAAAATAAATGATGGTCCAACTAAACACAAAATGTGATGGGGTGGCATACCGCTGCAGTGTGCCTTCGATTTTGAATAAATCCACAACAGTGCCACCAACAAAGCACCCCCACACCTCCTCCTCCATGCTTCACGGTGGGAACCATGCATGTAGAGACCAACTGTTCACCTTTTTTGACATGGCAGGTGGAACCAGAGATATCAAATTTGGACTCATCAGACCAAAGCACAGATTTCCACTGGTCTAATGTCTATTCCTTGTGTTTTTCAGCCCACACAAATCTATTCTGCTTGTTGCTTTTAATTAGAAGTGGTTTTCTAAGACTTAGTCTAAGTCTTGCCCTGTCAAGATGCCAATGTTCACATTTTGGACAGAGAACACAGGTGTGAATGGCCATTGTGAGCGACCATCTTTGAACAGAGGGGGTGGCTTACGGCACCAACTGTCTGCCATCTATAATCCAGATTTGAGATCCCTCGCCAGACGCTTTAACACATCCTGGGCCATTTGACCTAAGTAAATAATATGATAGGGTGGGGCTAGGTTTCACCCAAAACCTTGGCTGATTGTGACCCACACCCATTTTCACACCTTCGCTCATGTGATTAGGCATAGGATTAATCAGGGGTCCATGACCTTCTTAGGGACACTCCCAATAGGATTTAAAAATCTTGGACTCTCCATCAATTGCTCTTAGAACTGAAGACGTTTCTCGTATGAGAGGTGAAACGTCTTCAAGGAAACTCAAAGAAGTCCAGACACTTTTCTTTCCAAGCTCCTTAGACTACAGTGACCTGAATGACTGAGGACCTTCACAGACATATTGCCTTGCACTTTGTGAGAAACACCCTTCAATTAGTGCAGGAGCATGAAAGGGAATTAGTAGTGGTTTCTTAGCAGCTATTTGACTATAAAGGCCTGATTCGTGCAGTCTCCTCTGAACAGTGGATGTAGAGATGTGTCTCTACTCTGACTATGTGTGGCATTTATCTGGGCTCTAAATCTGAGGTGCTGTTAACATGCGATTTTTCTAAGGCTGGTGACTCAGATGAATTTATCCTCAGCAGCGGAGGTGACTCTTGGTCTTCCTTTCCTGGGGCAGTCCTCATGTGAGCCAGTTTCATTGTAGGGCTTGATGGTTGACTGCACTTGGGGACACATTCAAAGTTTTAGTAATTTTCTGGACTGACTGATCGTCAGTTCTTAAAGTAATGATGAACTGGTAAGCACATCCAGCAAGATACTACGACCTCTAACTCATGATTCACTGGAGTGGCCTAGTGTGTGCAAGAAAAGGTTTCCCTCACTTTTACATCACCAACAACCTGGACTGTTTGAATGAACAAGGTGGGGTTCATGGTTTCATGTTGGTTACCATATCCTGTTTGTCAGCTCCAACCCATCAGCTCATTCAGTTCTAAGCTAAAAACCACCAAAACCACAAAAACTATGAAAACTACACATGCCACTGGGCTAGAGTACTACTGATCTTACCACAGCCACGTGTGTTAAAATATAAATCTACTTATGTGATATGCTGATATCCATTAATTACGGTAAGTAGTTGAAGTCATCTCCAGGTCTGATATTAAAGCTGTAAACACCATATATAAGAATCCATTCATGACAAAAAGCACTTTGAGAGCACAAACATCCGCTAATGGAGCTCACTCTCTGTGCAGTATTTACTTTACAGTAGCATGACAGATGTTTACTTTGATTACAGACATTATGGAGGAGTAGGTAATGGGCAATAGATATTGATTTGTAAATAAATGGAAATAAATATCTTATTGTGTAATGTTATACTACAGTATATTTTTAACTAACTGGGCAGCTCATTATTTTTCTTGGGAATAATTCCTTCAAAGGTAAAACACATTTTGGTTTGAAATGAAAGAAAGGCAGATGTGTAATATAAAGGTGAGCGGTCAAATGTAACATGATATTTGGATGTCAAATATAATGTTGTCATTAAAATCAAAGGCAGCAGAATTTCAAGTACAGTTTTAAAGATAAAAGGCATTTTATGAATGTTTGACCTTATTTGAGCTTGAATGAGAGGTCAGGGTCAAATGTGACTTGATATTTTACCTCTTTATATGGAAATTTCTTTATGTTGACACCACACATTTGTTTCCTACACACTGTTTATTTCTAAATATGCCGATTTCTCTGTCTTCATTGTCCATCCCGAGCCATCTTGGTAACAGTGCTAGGCGTTATTTGCTTATTGTTTATTTGGTTATTAATACGTCTGTATTAATAGTCACCAATGAAATTAGATTAAAAAATATGTTGTTCTCAACATTTTACAAACTTCACCACGTGTGCTGTTGCAGAAGTCATTCCTCTTGTGCCGACGGAAAGCTGAGAGAATGTATAATGTTTTGACAAGTGTCAAGTGTGACGTGAGCCCCACCGGAAACACGCTGATGGCAGTATGAAATTAAAAGCACAATTTAATTAATTAATTAATTTTTTCTCCAGAAAAAGCCAGGATTTTTTAAAGACTATAAATAAGTTTGAAAAAGACGTTTAGAGAGATATTTATAATGAGACAAACTTGAACTCCTGACCCTCTGGAAGACCGCTGCATTCGCCGCTGGAGATTTTATTTTGAAACTTCTGATCTGTGGCTCTTTCGATGTTACTTGACGCATGCGCATTGTTAGCAACCATGTTTCGAAGCCAGGTGCACAACTGTATGTAACCTAGAAACAAAGGTAAATTCTCTTTAACAGCGGGAAGGGTGTTGCGATGTGGGTGTTGTCCGGTGTGGATGAGAGCGCAGCGTGCTCTGTGGGTGACGCCCGCCTTGTTATATTCAGTGCAGCAGCAACAACAACCAGCAACGGCTGCTAGCTAACCTAAACTTCCTCCTGTGATAAGTCCGTTGCCTCGCTGAACCACTGTCTTCTCAGTATTTGTCTGTACAAGCCTAGGCAGTCAGGTTACAGAGAGAGGTAAGAGCTGGGTCTTCCTCGTGACGTGATATTTTTGAGTAGTTTTATCTCGTCACTGCGAGTTTCTGCGGGAAGAAGCTAGTAGCCACCCCCAACCTTGTACGTGTCAACCTTGTTTGTGTGTCGTTGGCGGTCCTTGAAGCCTCGCTGTAAGTCAGTGTTATCATCGGTTTAAGTGAACTTTGATCTGGTTTCATTCACCGTCTGTCCTCCGTCCTAGTCCTAGCCACATGTACAGCTGCTCCTTTCACTTGCAGGACTTTAACGCTGAAGGTTAGTCGTGCAAAAATTAATAACATAAGCTGATTATATTCATGTTTTCATCAACGGAGGATACAGTAGATACGCGTTATATGCAGTGAATTGCCTTTATATAACATAACACAGCTTACCGTGTTGAACAGTTTATGAAGTAATTTCACTGTGCACTTGTGTTTCTATGTAAACTATTGGAGCAGTGTGGGATAAATGTGCTTTGTTTGGTTTTTAAAGTAGGGCACAGCATTACAGAGCAGGGTGATTTATTTAAAGATTTTTTCCCTTCCCTGTGATCTTTCCTTTTTTTCCCCCCCAGTATCTGCAGCAGAGGACTAGTAAGGAAACACCAAAACAGGAAGTGATTTCCAATAGTCACAGCAAGACTGAGAGGTAGCTTGCTGGACATTTCAGAGGATGGACTAAGAACCAAAAAACAAACAAGCAAACAAACCCTAAAAAACTGAGCCACATTAAGAGTCCCCCTTTTGGTGGGGCCCGCGGGGGGCCCTCAGGCAGCAGGAATAATGCCGGGCAGCAAGCAGCCACTCTGGTGCCTCTTGTCGCAGTTACGTAGCCGCCAGGAGCGAGTGGTGCTGACCCGCAGTGAGAGCCTCCCGGGGGAGCAGGTGCTGAAGATCACGGTAACGGAGACTACGGTGATCGAGGCAGAGTCCGGGGTGTCCAACTGGCGCTCCATGACCTATCTGGGTCTCTGGTACTTCTTCAGCTTCTGCACCCTGTTTCTGAACAAATATATACTGTCGCTGCTGGAAGGAGAGCCCAGCATGCTCGGTAAGAAGTAGTAAAATCATTCTGCTGCTTCTAACACTGATTAACTGCAATAATCACAAGATAAGAAAAGTGCACCTCAGTCATGAATCTTAAGATTAATGAAAAGCCATTGTGATTCAGATTGATGAAGGGCAACTTTCACATAAAACTCAAGAACGGCTTGCTGAGACAATACTTATTGTTTTAGATTGTAAAACTACCAGTGCAGCTGTGGGTAGGTGGTTTGGTGCATTCAAGGAGATTTTAATTTACCAGTAATGAGGACCTGTGTGCAGTGGCGGTCCTAGCCTGTTTGGCGCCCTGGGCGAGCACTCCCTACTTTTGCGCTCCAGTATGAACACCCATCCCCCAACCCGAGAATCACCACAAC